AGGGGGAGTAGTAGCAGTAGCAGTAGCTGTCGTAGTAGTAGTTGTAGTAGTAGTAGTAGAAGAAGAAGAAGCAGTAGTGCCGGTGTTACTAGTATCAAAAACCTCAATAAAGAACAATCAAGTAATGATCTTAACGGAAGGGCAAACCAAACACCTCAAGCCAAAGCGCATCCTCAGCCCGGGACCCAGACATGTTGCCAGAGTCCTTTATAAGTCCTAAACCTTTCACCAGGAGGATGTGATGGCGTGGTTTCGAGTTCAGGGTTTAGATCCCTGCACCCGGCTTCAATCTATCAGAATACCCGAATTTTTTAACTTCAGCAGGTTCAACTGTAGGGGTGCAGACGTGTCATACCCAACAGAGTCGGCTTCAAAGACTTGGAGGCCAATGCCCTGCAGAAAGCAAAAGCACATCCTAAACTCGAACAACAAGGACTAGGGTTTAGCGGCTGGTCTGTGAAACACAGCTTAGGTTTCCCTCGTTGGGGGCGGAACGATTACTATAGTGTTGTCCCCAGATTATGAAACTCCCAAACAAAGGCTCGCAAAACCCAACGCCCAACCCCCCTCCCAGCCCTCAAGGGCCAAGACCTTAGATAAATCCCAAAAACCCAAACCCTGAGCCCTGAAGCCTACATCCTAACAGACCACATCCTAAAGCCCCGAACTAACCCGGAAGTCTTGGTGCCAGCCTCATCGATGTGAAAGTGGTCTTCGATAAGGCTCTTGGCCTGCAAAACATCGGCGGCGGCACGGAGCGGCAAAGTAAGTAGGAAGGGTGATGTAGGGGCTTTAAGATGTAGAACTGGGTTCTACTATCTCCTACGGCTCCTTTCAAGTTTGTGTTTGGGGATGTCTTTATGGTAAGCATGTCTTGTTTTGGATCTCATAATCACGCAAGGGCTTGTAGAGTCAGTCTCAGCCAACGCTTTACTTGCGCACCGCCATTTCCTTGACAGACCTTATCCGTGCGCCGAGTAACAGCAGCATGGTGGTGCTTACAACTAAAGCTCAACCCAACCCTGAAGATTGAAGCTCTGAGCCTAAGAGACCTGGCATAGGGCCAACCCACTCATTAGGTCTTAGTGATCTACAGTTTAGATCGTAGTTACTGACTCTTTCCGACTTTCCGATCCCTACATAACAAAAACCCTATGAAACTCTTACAGTAAACCCTTGTTGGAGGCTCTGGAGGATCCACAGTCTAGCTGCTGTAGGAGCCTCGATAATTAGAACAGGGCCTTGGGCTCCTTTCATGGCATCTTTCCTAATCAGGAACCCCAAGTTAAATCATGTTGGGACTTCTTTGGGGCCCTTTAGGCTCTCTATGGTATTATGACCCCTTTAAACGGAGCCGATTGAAAGGGACCCTACTCCAATTTACAAAGGCACCCTCTTCTTTAAACCCTAAACCCTAAACCCTGAACCCTAAACCCTGAACCGTGGCTCTGAAGAACACTCCTCCCCGAAGCTGTGAGGCCTGTCTCAACGTTCTTTCAGCTGCCTGCTTGGCCTGGTCAAGTTGGTAGCTTTGGAGCTTATAGTGCCTAGGATTTTAGAGTTTAGGACTTAGGGTTTAGGGTTTAGGGTTTAGGACTTAGGGTTTAGGGTTCAGGGTTTAGGACTTAGGGTTTAGGACTTCGGGTTTTGTGTTGAGGGTTTTGGGGGGTTAGGAAGGCGTTGAAGTCACCTTTACAATCGCCAAGACACGCTGAATTGAAACAAAAAACGGCGTTTGAGACGCTTGTATTTTCGGGCCCCTAAGGTCCTTCGAGTTATCGAAACGGTACACTGCCCTCAGAGCCTGGTCGGGGTGTGTCCCCAAAAATAAATTCCATGATAAAGGCTCTTTAGAAGGGTCCCTTGGGAAGCAACACAAGTTCAAAGGCGGACCCTAAACCCTAAACCCCGCAGCGTTCGATCGAAGGCTTTGGGACTCAGGCTCCGCAAACGGTATAGTGCAGCGGCATCCCTCAGAATAGATGTTTCGGGGTCCATTATAGTAAACGAATAAATCTCTCTCTCCCTGAAAGAAGACATATATTTCCACATATAATATACATAGAGAGAGAGAGAGAGAGAGAGAGAAAGAGGAAAGGAATAAGAAAGAGATCGAGTGGGGCAACCAGGGGGGAACTCACCCGAAGTCTTCGGACCTCTCGTTAGGGTCGCAACCAGGTCAAGGCCCTACAGGACCCCCCCCCCCCACTCCGATATTTGAAAGGGATCCGGGGCTTTCGGGAATTCCTTCTAGGGTTCGCTTCAGGGTTCCGAAACTTCTAAGGGCTTTGTTTTTTGTGCTGTTTTTTTAAAGTGCATCGGACCTTTCCAGCATCCACAGGCCTCAAGAGTCTAGGGTTTCGGGCTCCGTTTCAGGGTTCCCTTTGGGGCTCCGAAACCAGGGTCCTTTCAGGGCTAGCTTCAGGGTTCCTTAAAGGGTTGAGGGTTCAGTGTTTCGAGGGGCTATTGGATTTCAGGTTTATAGGGCAATAAAGGGACCCTAATAATTACCTATACTATTGTGAGGGCTCCTTATTATGATTACAGTCGATTATACCCCAAAGCCCTATTCTAATTAATGAAGGCTCCTACATTATAGGGCAGGATTTCGACCCCAGCCCTAGCAAAACAAAATTGAAGCCTGCAAAGTCCCCCCTTTCAGAACCCGGCAGAACCACTGCACTCATCTACATCTATATCTACATTTATACAGGTGCATATGCTGTATATATTTATAGAGAAGTACACAAAATGTAAAACGTAATATTCAGAAACCATTTCGGGGCGGAACCTCGGTCATTGACTCCTCTGCGGCCTGCGCCATACACAACTCACCAACCAACACACGCACACAGGAAGCAGTGATCATTGGTGTCGCAAGCAAGAGCCGTTCCTGTGCTTGTGTCATAGATTTGGGTGTAGAGTCTGTGTGAGACTGTGAGGAAGACTTGCGCAGTTGCGTTTCTTATTTGTCTCCTGGTTTTGCTCTCGTTAGCAGCATTCTCCCCGAAGAGTTACCCGCATTGTTCTGTTTTTTGAGCTTCACGCTGCCATCTTCAGGGTTATGACTTTGCGTTCATTGCCGAGTTCACTGCCCTTGAAATCGTCAACATATGGTGACCGCATTGGATCGCGGTGCTTGTCGTCCTGTTGCTGCTGGCATCGTCGTCGTCGTCGTCGCCGTCGTCGTGGCATGTGAAATCGTTGCAATTCTCTTGTCATTTTCTACGCGCCTCATTTTCGATGATGGCTATGATTATTCTGATGGTGCTGATGATGATGAAGCTGTATTGGTGATCAATGTGCTGGTGATATTGTATCTTGTTCGTGCACGTAGGGTCTCTTAATGTTGAGGCCTGGTTCGCGGTTGTAACAAACTGTAGGACAACACACCCCTAAACCGCCTTACGCTCGACTTGCCCTGCAGCATCCGAGTAACAACAACGACTATGATCACCACCGGAGCGGGACTCTTGCTGACCGTGGGTCCATATCAATTAGGAATTTGGTGACGGCCGCTATAAGACCCGAACTTACTTGCGTAACACAAGTACAGCACCTCGAAAACTGAAGTATAGCGTAAACTCTAAATCCTTACGCTCTGCAGGAATCCTGGGAATGATCATTTCAAGTTTTTTCCGAGTCTTTTGCAAACCTTCGTCCCTTATCTCATCGCTTCCCTCCCTTCAAAACAACAATGAACTACACAGCCCTTCGATCTCGAAACTACGGACCCAGCTTGCAGTGCAGGGCTCGTTGGAGATTATTGTAAGGCCTTCCCAACGAGAACTTAAATAATTGGGATCCGATTTGCGGGTAGCTGACATTACAAAAATTGAAGGACTTCTCAAAAGTTCATACTCTGCAGACCAAAGCCCCAAAACACTAAACCTACAGCCTATTTCCACAGCCCAGGGCACTCAAACCTCTACACCCTGAAACCCTGCCAAGCAACCCCGAAAGGGAGCCCTAAGCCCTATATCCCGAACAGCGAATGACGACTGCCAAACTGTGCACCCTAAACCGAAAAACTAACAACCCTGAGCCACCAACACCCTAAGCCCCAACACCCTAAACTCCAACACCAGAAGCCCTAAGACTAGAGCCCCAACAGCCCTAAGACTAGAGCCCCAACAGCACAAAAAACCGAAATCCAAACTTCTGAGCTAAAGCCTGCAAACTCAGAAGGTTCCCTAAGCCCTTATATAAACCCCAAAAACCCTCAAACCCCCTAACCCCAAACCCTAATACGTCCTAAGCCCTGGAAAACCCTAAACCCCCGAAACCTAAACCCTAAACTGAAAAGTATGAAGCAAACAAACTGCATAGCCGAGTCACCTCCTTGACTTCCTCCCCCAGCAAAGTGGTGAATTCCGCAAAGGTCTGCCGCCGCCTCACGTTGATTTTATTTCCAGCGTGGGCTTTGCAGGGGGGATTATTTGAAGCTTCGGTGTTTAAGGCTTTATGGAGGTTTTCTGGTGTTTTTTCTGAAGGGCATGTGCCTTTAGGGTGTGCTTGTTTCGACAGCCCTGAAGTCTCTGCCTGAACTCTAGCGACGCCGTCAGGTGGGTTAGGCTGGTATACACCCCAGAAACAAATTAAACAGGAACCATTCAAGACGGGGCCGAGGGTACAGTTTCGAAGTTTGTCCTGGCTTTCTCAGTGGAAGCTTCAGCTTTGCAGCTTATAGTCTATTATAGTATCGTATATTGTAATTATAGAGCATATCATAGTACCTTATAGTATATTAGAGTAGCTTTGTAGCTGAGGCTTTTTTGCGCTTCAACCTTCAGCCTTTAACTTGACACGAAGAGGCCCACCGGGGTTTTGGGCCCCAGAAGCTCAGCAACGAAGACTGTCCTAGACTAATCTAAGGGCCTGAATCATTGGAATAGGGTTTTGGGGGCTCCTTATTATAATTATGGTATAAAAGACTCCCAAACCCTACTCTAATTATTAAGGCCCCTACATTATACCACGATGCCCACGTACTTCAGGCTTCCGGGCCCCCCCTCCCTATCGTGCAGACTAATTTGGGTCTAGAGATACCATGCTTAAATAGGGTACTGCGGTGCCCCACACTCTGAAGTCCTACAGGGTCCTAAACTTCACAGCGGGCTTTACTTTGCGTGACGTGGCCCGAGCAGCTTCCCCCCCGGCACAGGCCTTTGAAGATGAGATTTAGGGAGGCTTCCTGAAGGTGGCTAGAAAAAAAACGCTTTGAAACCGTGCAAAAATACAGCGGCCTGAAAAACCGGCAATAGTGTTCCTTTGGGCTCCAACACCTCAGAGTACATGAAAGTCAAGCAAGGCTCACGGTTTAGCTTCCAATTCCCCCCATGCCTTGCGGCCCTTTTACAACAGAAGAAGAGTGACCTCCTCGTTTGTTCTCCACTCTCATAAACCAGACGATCCGTAGGAAAGGAAAAATAGGCGATCCTGAAATAGAACCCTAGATAATATGGATCCTCATCCTTATTATCATTTGCAGAAGGACCCCAGCTAAGTAGGGTGCCCGACTCGTTTCCCCTTGGACAAAGAGTCCCGCAAAGCCTAAAGTCCTAAAGCATAGACTCTCAGCCCCAAGCCCCTCAAGCCCGGAATACCGAAACCCTAAACCGGATTCCCTCTAGGATCCCCAAACAGTAACCCTTATCATAACCTTGTCGCAACCCTAAACGGCCTAAAACCCTAAACCTAAACCCTAAACCCTAAACCCGAACCGTGTCGCAACCCTAAGCGGCCTGGACGTTGTTTCAGCTTCCTGGAGTACTGCTGCAGACTCCTTCCGAGTTGGGCCCAGGGCTTGGGATCTGGGCTTTAGGGTTCTAGGGTTTAGGGCTCTATGGGGTTTAGGGCTTAGGGTTCTATAGAGTTTAGGGTTTAGGGTTAAGGGATCTATAGGGTTTTGGGTTCTATAGAGTTTAGGGTTTAGGGCTCTATAGAAGTCTCTAGTTTGGGCCGTGAGGTTTCGGGTTTAGTTAGGGTGTGCATGTTTGACAGTGTGTTTTAAGGCTGAGGGTTTTGGATTTAGGAAGCCGTAACCCTAAACCCTATAAGCCCTAAACCCTAAATCCTAAGCCCTAAACCCTACGGGCCCTAAACCCCTAAACCCTATAAACCCTAAGCCCAAACTGGCCCAAGCACTGACTGAGCCTGGAAACTTCGCAGTCGGCCTTAATGATGATTAGAGTGGGGGGGGGGGGGTTTGGGGATATATTTTAAAATATAGTTGCAGTGAAGCTCTCCCTAAGGAATACTAAGGGTATTTATGATTAAGGCTCCTAATCTTATCTAATTTCCAGCCAGCAGCAGCAAGAAACCAGCAAGAAAAGCAAAAGAAACACGATGTGGAAGGCAAGCCGCCTTGTTGATACAAACCGTTTAGGCTGTGATCTTTACCACTTCTTGCGCTTGGGCTCTCTTCAGGCACACTTTCTTGTACATTTAAAACTGACATTTTTGTCCAGCCGATAACACCGGACGCCAGGTTTCGCGGCTCGCTCTTCGAACGGAAACGCGGCCGTATTCACGTGAAGCCGCGATTCGCCTATCGAGCTCGCCGTCATCGAGCTTATTGTCGGCCACGGCGCCGCGTCACACTCGCCACCACGCGAGAGCCGTGCTCTCGGCTGGCGTCGTCCAGACGAATCGGTCGATCGCCGATTTCAGCCTCGCTGCTATCGTACTCGTCTGGCCGACCCGACCGGTGATGTCGCCACGAACGAGGAGACCTTCCTTCGCCCAAACACCGGCCACATGACTCTCATGGAAGCCCGGTCACTTCTTTGTGTTCTGACATCTCGGAGATCTTCTTGGGGAGTTGCAGCTTCACCGAGGTCATGGCTCACTACCACTCTACCGTCGAATCTGCGGCCTCAGCTGCTGATGAACATCGAAGCATGAATGAGAAAACACAACGAGAGCCTGAGACCATCTTCAAAATCATGCTTCAGCCCAAAGACCTATGATTGCAGGTTCTCCAATCTAGTATTGGAAAAACTTCAATTGCAAACCTAATCCAGAAGATCATGATCATTTCATCTGACCGGGCCGTTCATAAGAGCTGTGATTCGGTATCCTAGTACCCGAAACCCTAAACACTAACCCCTAAGCCATACACCCTAAAGAAAACAGCTTGAACCCCCAGACCCGAAATCCCGTATCCCTACACTCTAAACTCATGAACGGCTATAGCCAAAAAGCCCTAAACGCCAATACTGTAGTGTACCATGATGTACTGTAACATACTATAATACACGATAATATACTGTATTATACTATCAAGTAACCCCCTACCGCAAGACAAACTAACTTTTACCCGCCCTGCAGAACTCGACCCTGTACAAAGCACGCCTGAAGCACACGCTCCATGTGCGCCTCGGGTGCATGTATGGAGAGTGCACTAGGGCATTGCCGAAGGGTCCAAGTATTCAGGTCTGTCTATACCTTGACACAACGACTCGGTTCCTTCATGAGGCGAAGTATGCACTCTTTGAATACTTGGACGCTTACACACAACAGGCAGTCGAAGTTAGCTGAAAGGGTCTAGGTGTTCAAGAGCAGACCGTAAAACAGTGGATGCCTGGATCCACAGGTATGCCCTACACCCTAACCCCCCCCCCCCCCAGGCCCGGCTTGGTCTGAGAAATTCCTTTGCGAGGTAATTACAGCAGCAGGGTTTTGCATCTCAGGGATACGTACACCCTGCTGCAAGGTGCTCATTCCACACCATGAGCCCTCAAGGGATCCATGGCTCTTATCCCGCATAGTCTAAAGGCTTGCTCTTACATGATGTAGAGCTCAATAAACCCTAACCCTACAACCTAAACCTAAGGGTCCGTTGGTCCTCGGCGTCCGAAAAGCAAAAGAGCTGACAATCCTCACTACATAAAAAAGGTGCAAAGAACGCGGATCTTGAAACCAACCCGCAAACTCAACGACATAAGAACACACACATAAAAATATATATAAAAACTAACAGCCTAATTAACGACTTGAGTGTACTTGGTCTGGGAGAAGGGCTGAAGTTATGGGTTCCGAAAGTGTACTTTTAGACATGAAGTGTTACCCGCACGCCTGACCCCTAAAAACTCTTCTCGGTCTCATAACCCATGCTCATCCCAGACGCTTTGACAGCTGTCGGCGTTCCATCGTCAGCCATTGCGGCCTCAACTTTGAACATGCGGTGTCAGTTGATACTTTGCTCTTCAGGAATTAGCCAGCCTGAGCCAGCGGTAGCCTATACGGGTTCATCTATCCAAGTCTATAATATATACTTCGACCCTATAGTACTGATACAGGAACCAACTTAAGACCCCAAGTTATGCCTTATTTATCGGTACTTGGACCCTTCTTTGGCCAAAGTCGGTGCGCTAAGCGGGTGCCCTGATTTTGGGGGGACTGCACATGACCAGACCCTAAACCTGCTGTCGAAGGAGCCGGGTTTCGGGCCTACCTTTTTCGGGCTGTTTTGCCATGGTTTCTTTCTAGGCTTCCTTATAGGGTTTGGGTTCAGGGGCTTTAAGGATAGGGATTCGGGGTTTAGGGCTTAGG